CGGACCTCCGAACCTCACGGCGACGGCCTGGCCCGAGCGGCCCGTGGAGGTCGTCGTCGACGACGAGGCGACGGCGCGGTGCTGCTTCGTCAAGGCGCGCTGCGCGCACTTCCTCCAGCCCGCGCGCAAGGACAAGCGCGTCGGCCTCGTGCCGGACCCGAACCTCGCGCTCTTCGTCACCGCGGCCCAGGGCGGCTCGGACCCCATGATCGCGGGCAACGGCGACCTCGTCTCCGGCGAGCGGTACCGCGCGTGCGAACTGCGCCTCGGCGGGGACGCGTGCGCTGGGTCGTAGAGTTTGATGTTGATCTTCCACGACGCCGTCAACGACTCGGACGAGTACCGCTACATTTTGATGCTCCGCGTCTGGCACCCGGAGCTCACGGACACGGAGCGGGCCGCGCTCCAGTTCCTCTTCGACGTCCTCGACGTGCCCGACCTCGTCAGCGCCGCGGAGGCGGAGCTCGCGGGTTTGAGGACGCGACCCGAGGAGCGCGCCAAGCTCGCGCCCGGCGCTGCGAAACCGCAGAAGAACAAGAAGGGCGGCAAGAAGAAGAAGAAGGGCAAGGCGGCGGGGTTCGGGGTAGCGCTGTAAGAGTCGTGGTGGGATGTCTCAGACTTTAGCACTCTCTAGCTCGGTCAAATCGACGTCGTTTTGGCTGATTTTTGGACGAGTGCTTTTCTCTCGTCTAGCCTCACTTTCCTCCTTGTCCACCTTGTTTCTTTTTCTCTTCTCTCCCTTTCTTGTTTCCTCCCCGCACTCCCTCCAACACATTTTATCACACCCCAATTTTTACCACAATCTACACCACATAATCACACACACTATCTTCTCTCACTTCTCACACAAAACACACAATTCCTCCCCACAACACCCCAATTTCATATAATATTAAAAACTATCCCTAACCCCCCATTGTTTCCCACAAACTAATTTTAAATTTAAATTAATGTGTGTGGAGATGTGTGTATTAAAAAAAAAAATTAATGTGTGTGTGTGGAGATGTGTGTGTGGAGAGTGATGTGTTTGTTTTGGAAAATTAATGTGTGTGTGTGTGGAGAGTGTGATGTGTCTGTTTTGGGAGGTTGAGTGTAATGTGTTTGTTTTTGGAAAGTTGATGTGTGTGATGTGTTTGTCTTTGCGCTGGGGTAGTTGTGTGTGTGTGTGATTGTGTGGTGTGTTTGTTGTGTGTTAGAGAGGAGAGAGAGAAAAAAAAGAGAGAGAGAGAAAGGGTGGTCGCAAGCGACCCGTCAGAAATTCTTGGTCAGTGCGAAACTGTACCAAAGAGCATTGGTATAGTTTTCAACTAGCAATATATCATACTCGGTCGGTGACCTCACTGTACTGATAACTGCCCCAGCGCAAAGATGAAGAAGCTCAGAACAAG